GGTGCATTATTCATAATCTGGTTTGTACTCGTGCTCTCATTCTTGTCCATAATAATGTTCTTGCCCACAAATCTCTCACAAGTACACGATTTTGGTGCCCATTGATGACATAATATTGTATCACATAGCGTTATATCGTTGTTTTTGCTCGCCAAGTTTTAGCCCTGATGAGTTACTGTGATCGCATAATTATTAGAGTGTACAGATATCATTCTATAATACTAATATGGTTTCATCAATGAATTTGTGATTTGCTTTTGTAGAATCAGTAGAAATTCACAATTAAAAAATGAAAGAAGCGATTGACCGGCAGTGTTGTGAAACGGTCCTGTCTAGTCCTATTGTTGGTCCTAAGTCGGTCGGTCGGTCCCACTTCTACGACTACAATCAGTCTTAGTGAGATTCGCTGCCTTTTCCAATTGATATCAATTGAAAATAACGGTTTTTTTTCCTCACTAATGACTGGTTGTAGTCATAGATGTGCGACCGACTTAGGACCAGCAATAAGACAAGACAGGACCGTTTCACAACACTGCCGGTCAATCGCTTCTTTCATTTTTTAATTGTGAATTTCTACTGATTCTACAAAAGCAAATCACAAATTCATTGATGAAACCATATTAGTATTATAGAATGATATCTGTACACTCTAATAATTATGCGATCACAGTAACTCATCAGGGCTAAAACTTGGCGAGCAAAAACAACGATATAACGCTATGTGATACAATATTATGTCATCAATGGGCACCAAAATCGTGTACTTGTGAGAGATTTGTGGGCAAGAACATTATTATGGACAAGAATGAGAGCACGAGTACAAACCAGATTATGAATAATGCACCAAAATCATGGGCAAGAATGAAATCATTGAAAACATGAAAAACTATGGAAGCAGGAATTCAGCGAATGCACGGGTCATTTTTACGTAAGACCAAAAAATCTCTATTTCAAAAGTTGAACAAACCTCAAAAAACACCACCATCCGCTGAACTCTCTTGCCATGCTAAATCAACATCCAAAATTCAGCTCAACTATGAAAAATGACTTGGAACACCTAACATGAACACATAAGGAGCAATTAAAACCAATATGAAAGTGTTCGTTCACTAAAAATCGTGCTTATGAACTTGAAACTAAATAGTAACACAATAAGTAGCTGTTAGGAAATTGTAATCAAGAAAGCGCCAATACAGTAAATGTGAGAAAGCTTGAACATTAGAAAGCATGAAACAGATAAGTAGCGAGAATACGGTAAAGTGCCTAGTAATATTGTTTTCTTTTTCACCTCACGATCAGGCATATAGTGGATTACACAAATGCAAAAAACGCCTGCAATGTTTAACCTTCCCTGCTCACTCTTCCGAAAACGGGCTGGATTCTCCTCTAGATCTATTCCAGGAATCGTTTACCCCAGAGAACACGAATATCCTTTCAATCTGGTGCGACAACGTTTGACGCTCGCACCACATGCACCAGCGCCAAAACAGGTCGGACCACTAACTTTGCTGGACTCGTGCCTGGTGAGCTTCATTTAAGGGCA